TGTATATATATATATATGGATATACGTATATATATCCAAAGTAAAGAAACACAACCATACAATTGATAACATGCTTACAAATCTTATGTTAACAGTATGATTAGATTAAATCATTTACAATACGTGATTGAATAATTAATTAAAGTAATAATTATAGTAATGTATTTGTTAAGATTTCGTTTATTGATTATATTTTAATTATAGATTCTTTGGTTTATTAGAAGTTTGGTCAATTTATCCTCAAAGAAAATGCACAGCGATATCAAGCATTATATATTTTTATGCTACATCTAATTCTGATCAAGAAAAATTATCTAATTTGAAATTGATAATCATTATCTATTTCTTTCCTCTCAAGCTCAATTTACAAGATCTTTTTTGAATCACAAATATTATACTATTTATTTCTTATTACACTATTATTCTTATTACACTATTATCATACCTGACATTCTCACCGATATTGATTCTTCTGTGTGAATAAAAATGATTCATTATTGAAATTAATAAGAATTAAATTAGAACATTGTATACATTACCGGATAGGGTAATTAGTAATCTGACAGTTATAATTGTAATCTATTTTTATATCACAGAAATGCAAGTCACTTATTGACACAACATCCATTCGCTCGTCGGAGATAAATACACAATATGACCGCGAAATATATTTAAAAAATTTCTAGCGTCATTTCACATAAAATTCATCGCGAGAAATAGCGTTTATCTGCCAGCGACAATAAAAACACAGACAGATGTTTCCTAGAAATATTAATACTTCGTAATATATTCAATTATGATTAAATATCCGTACATTATTGGCACACGATCATTTTAATTTATTTATGTTCACGTTTTTGTGCATATTACGTGCAATGGTTGTCACATATTTGTTCAAAATAAAACGAAAAAGAAGAAAACGTTTGTCAGCAAATTTGTGATCATATTGAATTATATCTGTTGTAAAAGTCTTCCATAATGTGACTCCAATACTTCAAGGCTATTTACATAAATATATGTCTTAAAACGTTTGCACGCGAGTCATAGAGCTTAAAAGACAAGTGATAAAAAGCAGCAGTGTTATACTCGAACTGGATGCCGAGGATGTATAGATAGTGAAGAGCCATTTAAAATATATTATGTATAGTGAAAATTGCTTAATCACATTAATATACTTGTTGTTCTTCTTTGATTTGTATCCGGTTATTGTCAAATTTGTCTTGTTCGTCAGTTTCCAGTCACCACATTTAGGAAAATTATCAGGCACAGGTGGCATTTCCTCGTTTTCACCCACCTTGAAGATCAGTGACATTCCTACCTCCGCATGAAACTCGATATGGCAATGGAATAGCCAATATCCTGAAAAATATTAATTAGCTCGATTATTTACCGGCATACATTAATAACTCGTTTTTTAAAAATATTATTTGTCTCTTTATGTAGTCTTTTTTTGTGAAGTCTTACCTGGATTATTAGCGTGAAATCGTACAATAGTATAACCACCGTCGGGTACGGTCACCGTATCCTTCAGAAGTGCCCGTTTAAGTTTTCTGCGTATTAAACCTTGTTTATCTAATTCTCTCACTTCAGCGATGGTAGTATTACGCCCTATCCTTTCCATAGCCACTACACGGAACTGATAACCGTGAAGGTGAAACGGATGATTTGCATCATACGGAACACCTGTCAAGGATTATTAGTTACTGTGAAACTTAGACGGTTTAAATAATTAGAGATACGCAAAAAATATTTATTGCTTATACACACCTTCATCGATAAGAACTAATTCCACTACGCTATCAGTTTTAATCTGAAGCACATGAGTGCAAGCGCAATATTCCTTCTCGCATCCCACGACCGTGCTGGAGTTGCAAAATTGATCTGGCTTAATAAGATATCTTTCAGACAGAAGCGGAAACGGCGGCAACTTCATTGATATGTGGTTCAATTGCGGTGTGAATGTTTGTGGTTTTACTAAAAATTCATGATCGAAATATTTTATGAAACAATAAACGGTATACGCTCTTTAACAAGTCTAAATTCTAAACCTATGTGTAATTTTCTTGTTAGTGTATATGGTGTACAATCGAATAGGGTAATTGAAAGCATTTAGTAAATGAAATATTTTCCAATAATGAAATAGTTAATTATAGATTTGTTAAAAAATATGCATTCATTTAATAGAATATTGAAAATTTATAATTTTATTTTTCTTTATTTTTTATTATAAATTAAATTTTTAAAAATATATATTTGAATATATTTACCTTGGCGGAAACCATATAAATCCTTGCGATGAAAATTCGGATTATCTTTCCCGTAAAAATCATACGATATGTAAAATTGATAATCAGGTTCTCTGATGTTTGAAATATCATCATCGTCCATCGCGTTCAACATTGGCATACTGATGCTATTATTTGTTTCAGTTCCTTCATTTAAAGCGTTTACTTGCTAAAATCAGAAATGATTTTTTATTTCTTCTAAAGAAATTCAAAACGAAATAACGTTCCATCATTTAAAAAATATTATACATGAAAACATTAATATACATACCAGTCCATAGGAGTTATTTCTTACACGATCATATGAAACTTCTGTTATCGGTTCTTCATCGGGTGCACCCTCGTATTGCAATTTTGCGACTTGATAGGCGCTCGTAAATCTTTCATCGCAATCCATCAATCCTCGAAATCTTATCCAATAATTGTCCACAGATTGATCCATGTTAATTATAAAATCAAATCTTTCCCCGGCGTAACTTACCAGCGATTCAGCTGCAATCACATTACATAATATATTACAAATAATATATTACACTACAAATAATATATTACAATAATATATTACAAATAATTTATAAAATTACATAAATTTATAAAGAAATAGTGAAAAATACTGAAAATTGTACCTTGTACCGACACAATATCACGTCCATCTGAACTGATTACATGCAAAGTATGGTTGTCGACAGAAACTTCTATAGGGCAATTCAGGAATTCTGCATTAATAAGTCTGAATCTATATCGAGATTTCTACAAACATACATACACAATAAATAAAAATCAGATTGGGATAAAAAACACACAAATCATGTAATTTTATTTTTAAAAAGAGGAAGAGAAAGTAAAAGTGATTTTTAGAAATCAGAAAGTGATTTTTAATTAAGTGTAAGATCTCTTTTGAAATAGGCTGATCTATGAAATATGTAATTCTTTTTTCTTTTGTTTTTGATAAAACTATTTTATTTATTTCTTATAATGATAGATATAAATATATATTTAAGAAATTAACAAAATTAAAAGTTTTGAAAGCGTTAAAAATAATGTAATAATTATGCATTTCAAAATTGAAAAATTAGCTCAAAATAGATTTGAATAACACAAGAGGATGAAATATCGTATCTTATGCAAATCAGTTTTTTATATTAAGAATACTTTCTCTTACTTAACTGAAACTTACCGGTTTTACGACAAACGTCGTAATAGGCATATCAGCTAACGTCTTATTTTTATTAAAACGGCCCAAACCATTTATGAGTAAATTCGGCGCTTTGTTTGTACCATTAGCATGGTAATGCGCCAGGAACTTTGTGAGACCCAATTCATGAACCCAATCAACGACTATTAATGTATGCTCATCGTAATCATATAAATTCTTGTGCCAGTTCATTTTAGGAGGTACGCGAACGATTAACGGACCGAACACGCCATCACCTCTTTGAAATCCTGCAGACAAACATGCAATACAAAATATTACAAACAATGGAAACAATTTATTTTTCAGAGCATTATTATTAATGACTATCAATAAATTATTTTAAGTTAAATAGATTTGTTGATTTGAGCAATTTAATTTCTTCAACTTTCTGATGATATCAAGTACGAATACTTGGGAAAAATTTAGCATACCTGTATGAGAATGCCAGAAGTGCGTGCCGGCTTCAGTGGCGATGTAATTGTATTGGAAGGTTGCTCCAGGAGGAATAGGGCATTGCGATACGTAGGGTACGCCGTCCATATATGGCGTGGTAACATGATGCTGGCCGTGCCAGTGCATCGTAGTGCTCTCCGCATGCAATAAGTTAATCATATCGACTATTATTCTGTCGCCTTGGCACACCTAATAAAAGTGATAAAAGTAACTTCCCTTAGAATATTCTCATCTCATTTGATTTGCTTGATCTAATTCGCAACGACCGCTTATCGACCACAGATCACGCTAAAATAAGATTATATAAATCGAATATCATTATTGGTCAAATATCATTTGCGGTTTGTAATTAAAACAAAAATACTCGCGTGATTGAATTATCAATAATTCTCGAATATCACAAAGAATTTTATTTTCGTATCTATAATAATTGTGTGATGAAATTGTAACCAAAATCTAGAAATATAATACGTATGTATATTACTCAATGCTATCACGAGAACAGTGGGATCCACATTGCAAATATCTTATACTGTAATGACTATTTAACGAGCACTCCGAGGAATTATTCGCGCGGCGATTATTCTGTCAAACAAATGTTTGTCAAACAAAATAA